GTGTACATGAATTCATGTATTTGATGAACATAGATTAAGTTGATTCTAAAATTCATATAAAAATGCAAAAGATCTAAAATATTTAAAATAATATTCAAGAAAAACTGAGCTGGAGGACTTTTCACTATCAGATAATAAGACGTATCATAAAGCTATAGTGGTTGGAACAGCAAGGCATAGCTTTCTGATTCCTTTCCGAGATCACTGGACCTAAAAGTAATACTGATGTAAATAAAGGGTTCCCTGCATCTTTGTGGTGTTTCTCTTCCAACTTCAGAATTATGTGTGTCTTGCTAAGTCTCCAACTTGCTAGCAATTTCTTGGTTTTCTGGTCCAATTACCATGGTGTCATTGATACAGTGGAGCAGCGTTATGTTCTGTATGATATCCAGACTGCACCTTTTCAAACTATGTATTATATATAAAACATATGTGTGTATATATACACACATATACATGCACGTATGAATGTATGTATATACATAATAGGATACATATATGTATATATGTATATACCTATACATCTATCTACCTCCCATTGGTTCCATTCTCTGTAGAACCCTGACTGATACCCCACTCACTATAAAAATTGGATTCATTTGGCCTCTTATGGTTTAGGTTTGCCACTTGGACTCTGTCATTCTCATTGCTTTTGTCATTCTCATAGCTGAGGTCTATGACGGCATTTCCTTCCATCAGTCTTACCTACAGAGGAAAGAAGAGCCCCTCTCCAAAGTAAAACATGGCCGACGTGGGTATAGTTCAGTGGTAGGACGTGTGCTTAGCATGCACAAAGTCCTAGGTTCAATTCCCAGTACCTCTACTAAAATAAATATAAATAAACCCAAGCCTCCCCTCACCCCTACACACAAAAAATTAAAAATTTAAAAATTTAAAAAATTTAAAAAAGGAAAACATGGAAAGTGAAAGTCTTGGGTTCCTATTTCCCATCCACAGCCTGCCTATGATTGTTAGTTACTATCATAACTTAAAATTAAATGAAGACGTGGGTTGGTGTGTTACACAGGGATGGTGTCAGGCACAGTGATTACAGTGAATGCTTCATTTGGCAAACTGAATAAGATACTAGTCCTTAAGGCCAACTGGTTTTCAGGAAACTGGCTGAGTTTAGTACTTTAAAACACACTATCTCATTTAACCCTCACGGTAACCACATGAGCAAGGTGTTATTACCAGATCTAAGGAAACAGAACCTCCCAGAACTTAAGCCCCTTGCTTAGGGCACCTGGTGAGTAAGTGGCAGAGCTGGCCTTGATCTCACGTCAGTCTGTGTCTAGTGCCCTTGGGATCAATGTCACCACTCCACTACTTTCTGAACAAGCCTCAGCCCCCGCTCCAGGTGGCAGTGGAACGTGTGCTCTAAGGAGGCCGGGGCCAGCGATGTGGGAGTCTGCAAGGGCTTGACCTTGTCTGGGCTGTTCTGTGATGTACGGAGAGGCCAGCTCTCTGCTGTGGTTATTCCAGAGGCCAAGGTGACCATGGTCACTCCTGCTTTCTCTGGCCTCAACGTCAACAAGGACACCTCCTCCTGGGACTCGTGGCTCAGCCCCTCGAGTCCCTTCACAGGTTACCTCTCAAGGGGAAGGCGAAAAATTGGGTAATTAGCTCAGGTTGGCTCCTTTGCTAATCAGAGCTCGGGGTTGTTTTCCCATTGGTATTAACCTTGTTGGTGAAAGGAGATCTTGCCCACTTCCCTGCTGCTCTACAACAGGCATGAGACAGTCAGAAGACGCTTAGGTCACGAGAACTCTTTGCTCCTTGGATACCGGTTTTTTGAACAGAAAGTGAAGGCTCAGGAAACAGCCTTGACCACAGGTGTCTGAGCTCACCAAGGACCCTCACAGGTCAGAGGAAGATGGGGAACCATCATTTGGCACTAGATGTGTGTGTTTCTGTAAGAATGTGTACCACGTGTTTATTTTTACACTTGTACAACCCAGTGTATTTTGTGTAACTGAATCATATACCAACTCTCTTCATGCAGGAAGGGCTAAGACAGATTATGGAGGGCTGGAAAAATCTTCCTGGTTGTGTGTGTGTGTATGTGTGTGTGTATGTGTCTGTGTGTGTATAAGATGCCCTTTTTTGTGTGGGTTGTGCTTTGTCTCAGTGACTAGGTGTAATGTTTACGAGATGTGTTGTGTGTGTTTCATTTATCAGTTGTATGTAAATTTGTGTGAAAGTATTACACAAAAGTGACTACATGTGTGTTTTTATGTATAAAACACACTCTATTTTAACCTAGAATGAGTATAGAAGAGAGGGAACTAAAACCACAATAAGGCTGTGTGTATGATAAATAGACTTCCACCTAGTCTCCTCTTCCATCGTATCTCCTCTTATTTCAGACAAAGATAGGTAGTTCCAAGCAAGGTCCTTCTCAACCCAACTTATAAGCCATTTGTCCATGTGGTCTGAGGCCCCTCACAGTGCTCTGAGGCACTTTTCTTCATCGACTTTCAGCAATGCTGTATTTCTACTCTTGGGAACGTGGGAGTGCTTAAGTGGCTCTGGGTCACACACATCCTGATTCACATCTCTTTTTTTGATACTTCATAGCTTTATGACCTTAGGCTTAACCTCTGCAAGGCTCAGAAGCCCGAGCTGTAAAAGGTGATGTGATTTAACTCAGTATGTGGCATGTTATCAGCATGCACTAAATGGATGCTAGCACCACGATTATTTTTAAGTGCACGAGAGCCTCAACTTGCTCGTCATTTCTTGACTGTTCAAGGCAGAGTATTTTGTGCAGGGGAGACATCCCAAGAGCTCCTGTCAAGCTCCAACTGACAGCTTGCTTGCTTCCTTCCGGTGTCCAGCTACCTCTCACACAGGGGGTGGCTTGCATCGGTGTTCTGTTCCTCCTGAACCAGTCATTGCCTGTGACGCTGCTACCTGACACGCAACGTCTGGACTCCCTCCAGAGAGGCTTGCGTTCCGAGGAGAAGTTGAATCCCAGTGGGCGGCCAAGTATCAGCAGAAGGTGTATGTCACTGCCTTCCTCCTGGTCCCCGCGAACTGCGTGCCTGAGCTCCTCTCTGTTCTTGAAGAGGCTCCTCAGTCAGATGCCTCTGCCTTAGAGGGGTGGGGTCTCGCTGGGTCCCCTCTCTACGTCTGATTTAACTCCCAGTGAAGGTGTTGCCAGGCCTCTAGTGCAAAGACTATCAGAAGTCTTCGTCTTACAATCAGGATCCAAAAACTACTATGTGTTCTCGAGTATGTGACTTCATACCTATTTCCACAATATACTGTGAAAGAATTAACCATTGGAACGTCTACTTCACAGGCACTCGGTAAATGTTTACTGATTAATGTAATTAAACTCACCTAAAAGTGCTTTACAAACTGGAAAAAGGAGTGCGAGTAGGTGATTGTACATTCTGGTTTGCCCAAGAAAGTCTTGGTGTAGATCTGTTATCCTGGTATAATTATTATATAACTTCTCCTTTCACTCTTAAAAGTATCCTGACTTGGATAATAAAATGTAGGATCATCATTTATCTAAGTATGAGTTGGGAGATAATCAAGCAGGTGGCTGGAGTAATTCTGAAATCTTGAAACAATTCCAAACCAGACCCAGGATTTTCTGTCTAATAAATGGAAGTCAGGGCCAGTGACTGGCGAAGAGTAGGATCTCTGATCATACTGACATATATAGAATTGTGACTGCATCAGGTATCACCTTTGTATCTTTGGACAAATTATGTAACCACCCTGAGATTTAGTTTCCTAAGGCTGAAACTGAACTTTATGAGTGCCTATGTCCTAGTTAGCAGCTCATTAAATAGCAACTATTTTCAATGCTAAGGTAAATTTTGAGAATTAGTCATAGTTAAGCAGGTGACTATGAATTTGACTAGATATCCCACATCCTACATTATCAGCAAATTCTTAAGTCTTTGGGAAGGTCCCTGGGAAAATTCTCAAGTCTCTCGCTGTATGTATATGTTATATTGGAGGAAGAGGGATAAAAAGGAGAGGAAAAGGGAGAAGGGGGGGGGAGAGGGAGATGGAGATGAAGAATAAGAGGGCTGGGTGGAGTGAAGAAGAAAAAATGTTTCTGAGATCATTGCCAGCAGGGAATCAAATCCCAGGGTCCATGGTCTGGGCTTTTGCAGTTTCCCAGGGAGTGTTAAAGTCCAGGAGGTTAACAAATGTTTTAGGCCGGCAACTGGGTCTTGCCTGATGCCCATATCACTTTGCTGTTTTGTTGAGTTCCTGGAGTTTGATGCCAGATTTATCTGCTTACTACATCCTGCTATAATAATAGCAAGCATTGTTGAGTACCTACTGTGTGCAGGGCACTGTCCTAAATGTATCACATGTATTCACTCCTTTAATCCTCAACGTTCCATTTTATAGAGGAGAGTGCCAAGTGCCAAGATGGCAGAGTAGAAGGACACATAGCTCTTGCTCTCCCATGAATACACCCAAAATTACATCTACAGACCCATCAATTTACACAGAACACCTACTGAACTTTGGCAGAATATCTTTTACCTGGAAATGGAGGAGGAACTGAGGTACATTGCGAAAGTGCCCAAGGCCACCCAGGTAGTAACTTGTGGAGGTTGGAATCCAATTTAAGCCTCTTGGCTGAGAAGCCCCAGCTCCTGGCTGGCACTCTGTAATGTACTCACAGAATGTAAGCTCCAAGAGTCAGGGGCATGGATATTTTATTTTTTGTTCTATTCCCAGTGCCAAGAATAGCATTTGGAACACAGTTGAATAAGTGAAGACATTTACACTGGTCTCCTTTGAAGGAAAATCTTGTTTGCCATTGGAATTCTGATGCATTCAGTGACCAGAGTCGGGCAGGCAGAAAATTCCAACAGCAAATGTGCAGTTTGTCTGAGTTTTGACACAGTCTCCAGGAAAAAAAGCACATGGCTGTAATGAACACATGGTGATGATAACCACTATGTCTCAGTCTCTGATGTTTTCTACTCCCTGTATCCCCAGCAGAAATTAAGAAAAGCATGAGGAGGGAGAACCAGAGCAGCGTGTCCCAGTTCCTCCTCCTGGGGCTCCCCATCCGGCCAGAGCAGCGGGGCGTGGTCTTCGCCCTGTTCCTAGGCATGTACCTGACCACGGTGCTAGGGAATCTGCTCATCATCCTGCTCTTCAGGCTGGACTGTCGCCTCCACACCCCCATGTACTTCTTCCTCGGCCACTTGGCCTTCGCTGACATCTCCCTCTCATCTATCACTGTCCCAAAGATGCTGGTGAACATGCTAACTCAGGAAAAATCCATCCCCTATGTGGGGTGCATTTCCCAGATATATTTTTTCATACTTTTTGCTTGTCTTGACAATTTCCTCCTTGCAGTGATGGCCTATGACAGGTATGTGGCCGTCTGTCAGCCACTTCACTACACCACCATCATGAGGGAGGGACTGTGTACCTTACTAGTGGCTGGATCCTGGTTCTTCTCATGTGTCCATGCCCTGTTGCACACCCTCCTACTGTCCAGCCTGTCTTTCTGTGCTGACAATACCATCCCCCACTTCTTCTGCGATCTCACTGCCCTCTTGAAGTTGACCTGCTCAGACACTTCCTTCAATGAGCTGGTTCTCTTCATCGAGGGTGGAATGATTGCCTTTCTTCCCATGAGTGCTATTTTGGGCTGTTATATCTGCATTGGGGCCACTATCCTCATGGTCCCCTCCATCAAGAGAATCTGCAAAGCCTTGTCCACCTGTGGCTCCCACCTCTTTGTGGTGTTTTTGTACTATGGGACTCTTGTAATGAATTACTTCTTTCCTTCATCAAACAATTCCAAGGTCAAAGACATAATTGCTTCAGTTATGTACACCGTGGTGACACCCATGTTAAATCCCTTTATCTATAGCCTGAGGAACAGAGACATGAAATTGGCTCTGGGGATAATTCACAGGAAGAGGATTACTTTTGCCAAATAACAGTTACCAGTTACACTTTAAATTTTCCTAGTGATGCTTCTAGAGACAGCGTCTTGAAAAATTGTGTGATTGTGGCAGACTGCAAAAATGGCCACAATATTTGCAGCTCTTCCTTGTAAGTTCCTGTCATATAGGCAGAACCACAGTGAAAATCATACCCCAGGTGCAGCCACAATGGAAAACAGCCTGGAAATTCCTTAGAAAACTAACAACAGAGTTACCATATGATTCAGCAATCCCAGTGCAGGTATATATCCAGAAAAGATGAAACCTCTAATTTGAAAAGATACATGCACCCCAATGTTCATAGCAGCACTATTTATAATAGCCAGGACAGGGAAGCAACCTAAATGTCCATTGACAGCTGACTGGGTAAATAAGTTGTGAGATATATATTTTTATAGATAGATAGATAGATAGATAGATAGATAGATAGATAGATAGATAATGGAATACTACTTAGTCATAAAAAGAATGAAACAATACCATTTGCCCCAACAGGGATGGACCTAGAGATTATCATACTAAGTGAAATCAGACAGAGAAAGAAAATATCATATGGTATCACTTATATATGGAATCTAAAAAATGATACACATGAACTTATTTACAAAAAAGACACAGACTCACAGAGAGAGAAAAAAACTTATGTTTACCGGAGGGGGAAGTGGGGAGGGAGAAATTAGAAATTTGGGATTAGCAGATACACACTACTACATATAAAATAGATAAAAAAACAGGTCTTACTATATAGCACAGAGAACTATATCCAATGTCTTAACTATATACTATAATGGAAAAGAAACTGAAAAATAATATGTATATATATATATATATGTGTGTGTGTGTGTGTGTGTGTGTATATAAACTGAATCACTATGCTGTACACTAGAAACTAACACAACATTGTAAATCAACTCTACTTCAATGAAAAAAATATTTGGGGTATTTTTAAGGCCGGTTGTTTGTTTTCTTAATGTTGAGTTTTTAGAGTTAAAAAAATTTTTTTTAAATTGAGGTACAGTACAGTCTCATGTACAGCACAATGTCCCAGTCATGAATATACATCATATATTCATTTTCAAATTCTTTTTTATTAAAGGTTATTACAAGATATTGAATATAGTTCCCTGTGCTATACAGAAGAAACTTTTTTTTTAATCTTTAAGAGTTCTTTGTATATTTTGAACAACTGTCCTTTATCAGATGTGTGTTTTACAAATATTTTCTCCAAGTCTGTGGCTTGCCTTCCCACTCTCTTGACATTGTTTTTTGCAGGGCAGAAATTTTTAATTTTAATAAAGTCTGGCTTATCAACAATTTCTTTCATGATAGTGCCTTTGGTGTTGTATCTAAGTCATGGCCATAGTCAAGGTCATCTAGACTTTTCTCTTATTTATATTTTAGAAATTTAAAGGTTTTTTTGCTTTACATTTAGGTATATAATCTATCCCTATGGACCTTTCATGTTATGGGTACTTCCCATCCCTGCAACTTTACTGTGGGATTAGGAGCCTCGGTCGTTGACTGTGGAGGGGTGCTTGCACAGAGAACATAGGAGTGGTTCCCTGATCTCAAAGTGTGATGGCTGCCTGGCAATTTTAGGTTCTTCATTCTGGAAGGCATGAGACAAAGAAAGAAGTTACTCTGAGTTCAGGAGTAATCGACCCTAATTATCTTGAAGAACTACAGGCGATTTCCCTACCAGTGATAACATTAAACAGGCAAGTGTAGCTCTGTCACATGACGGGTAAACAGAGCGGGATAAGCAAGAGTCCTGATGAATGAAGATCTGGGTCTCCATCAGGGAAGCAATCTTAACTGGCGGTCATGTCGGAGGAGGATAAAGGAAGTCAATATGGATGGTAAAGGAAGGCAAAGATAAATTTCAGTTACAGCCTTGGGATCAGCTGTAGTGGCAAAGATTATAGTTTGTTCCACTAACTCACTCTTTTAAATTCTGTTTATAGAGTGTATGACTGGCTACCATCCCCCAGGCTCAGGGTGGGGGCACGGGTAGAGGTGGGTAGTACATGGTGTGGAATGTAGCTGATGCCTGCCCTGGAGCTCCCTGTCCCGCTTGGGTTATTGGAAGCGGCATTAGACAGTTTT